ACCAACATGATGTGTCGTTTCCATTTTTTGTTCTTCACCTTTGAGCCAAAAATAAATTTTACGCGCGTTGAACGCTGCGCTAGCGCTCGACTGTTGTCAGCGCGCGTCATCGCGCGCTTTGAAATCATTGGTTTTCTATGTTACCGTTGAGTTGAGCACGCGCTTTTGACGCAGATAGACATATTTTAGGGTTTGCTCAGTTCATCCAGAAATCGCCCGAAATGGAAACGGAAGCTTTTAATACCGAATTATTTATAGATGAAATAGAGAAACGTCCTACGATATGGGACATGACAAGTAGCGGTTATTCAGACAAGAACTTAAGGAGACGGGCTGGGGAAGAAAAGAATGTTCTTTTTTCCTTTCTTTTTTTTCTTTTGTTCCTAAACAAGTATTGATTTACAAATTTGTGTCTTGATTAATAAAAAACTTACCTCAATGTAATTATGAGTTTTTCTTCTGGTGAAATACTATATCGCACAGCGTTTTTATTTGCTACGAGTTCATCGTTTATGAAAGCCAGTAAGTTATCAAATGACTTGATGGACATTCTGAAGTGGTTAAAAATCTGGGTTTGAATTGCCTTAACTTAAGATACAAAATTATGTACTGGCTTTCAGTCAGCCTGTATGAAAAAGTTGGGTGGACCCAATATCTCCGTCTTTTGTCGCGTCGTTTCTGCCGTCGGTAAAAAACACCGCTAAAACTGTTTCTACGTCCATCTTCGACAAATGTAGAACACAAATGAGCCAGGTCAGGGCGGCCGCGACATCGCGCGTGCAACGCCTGACAAGCGCACACCATGTGAACACTACACAAAACTTTTACGCGCGTTCAACGCGCGTTGAGCGCAAATCTTCAAGAATCACTTTTTAATTCCCGACGTTTCGGGTGCTTTACAGCACGTATGGTCATATATATATACTATATAGTATATTACCCTATATAGTATATTATCTATGATGAGGGGACTGAGGTGTTTGACGTCCCGATGTCATAGTTAGCCAGGCTACCTTCAGTTTTTTGAATATTAATTTTGGTCCGATCTACGCAGAATGAGCTTATAGTATCTCGAAGTCTTGCAGTGGTATGTTTGGGTTTGGATTTGAATTTATCAATTATAGGATCTCAAGCTGATGGCAACACCCATCCATCTTCTGTATTGAAATTAGGGTGTTTTTTTAAAAATTGCAATAGCCTCGCGATTCACTCTTGGTAGGAATTGGTGTTGTTTTGCGAGAATTTTTGGTCTATCAAATCTAATATAATATTTATAAGCTCATTCTGCGTAGATCAATAATTAATTAATAATATATTTTAATTTGTTGATATAAATACGTAAGTTAACAATGAATGCATACACAACACGCATACAATACAACATTTATACGGCGTTCCTCAGCATAAAATGATAAAAATATGTATATGTCACAGTGAAAACTCATAACCGGTCAAAACCCATGTAAATACATGTACTTCTGAATAATCAGATAAAAGGAGTTTTGACTAAGGATGTTGGTCAATACCACTTTTAACTGATTTTTGCAGTCAAAAGTAGTTTTGACTAAAGACGTTGGTGAAAAGTAATTTTGCCTCATTTAAAGTTCAGACTATCGGTGACAACTCGCAATATCAGTGACAGTAGGTTAAGGCCGCGTAAATTATAATGATATACTCGTAAAATATAATATTGAAGGAATTGAACTTTTTAATTTCAGAAATTCAAGAAGTATAAGTCAAAAGGAGTTTTGACTAATATTCTACATACACCAGTGGGGTATTCAACATGTTTATATTGTATAATACTTGTTCCCCGGTGTATTAAATAAAAGTTGCAATAAATAGCATTAAAGGTAGTCATATTCAACTGGAACTTATCAAAATGGGATATGAGTCTTGTTATCGAAAGCAGTAGAGTTGTTTCACACACAAATAAAAGTTATAAGTGGGAAGTAAAGGTTTATTTTGTAAAGCAACAATTAGATCTATTAAATATCAATATATAATAACAATAATAAAATTATTTTTCAGATTTAGTTTGTAGTACATTTAGTTGAAGTTTGTGTTAGACCTTTTGTGTTCAGGACTCGATGTGGCAGTAGCCGCCCTCTTATTTATTTCTTCTGCCATGCAGTAATGCATTCATTAGTCTTCAGATTTGAAGAGAGCATGTATAACTAGTTATTGTGTCTTAGTGCATAAACGTAACAAGGGACTTAAATTCTTTCCTGTTTGAAGTTGGTTGCAGTTGCCAATGGGCGAAAGAACTCACTTATTACCTGGTGGACTGCTAATTAGTTTGTTACTTCAATGTTATATAAAGATTTTATAAAAATAAGAACATGTAAATTTTAAGAAAACGGGTCCGTTTCCATAATTCGTAACTCATTGCATTATTGATTCATTTCATTTCTCAATGTAAAATAAATTTAATAAGTGATTATAGTTTACCAATAAAAGTTTCATTGAGTACGAATAGTTAAAAACTAGTTTTTAATTAAAAAATCTGTTAAAATGGAATGAAGCAGGTAGCTTACAGAGTAATGTTTGCATCTAATGGGGTGGGACACTGATACCTTTTACTTTATTCTTATCGTTAACGAATTATAATCTTAAATTTACATTACGTTAAAAATCAAAGGAAACGTTATAGCTTTCTAACAGTCAACACTCGCAGCTATTATAAACATATCTTTCTTTTTATTGTTATATTTTTAATAGACAAAGAAGAATGGAAATTTAAATACATGATAATCATGGTAACTATGTTAAGTTGTAAACAATGGATATGTATATCAAGATACCGCTCTCAGGAATGGAGAAATGACTTAAAATATTTCTAGTAAAATACTCTACCCAATATAAAAATGAAAATTATTCATACACCAAGAAATAATAAACACATCTTAAGATACATAGTGAAATTACTCTGTAGATTTGACATTGACACATTAAAATACATACTTCTTATGCATGTTATTATTCTAAGCTTCTGAAACTTTCGTCAGTCTTAAGATCCGTCTATTATTACCATACTTACTGTAACAATTATGTACCTAATATTGCGTTAAAATTACCTATAAGTAAAATACGCAAATATAAAAAAAGTTAAATATTAATTTTAGGTTGCTTCTAACATTTATGCTAAACTACAACTTTTTCTATTTTTGGTCGTCGGTATGTAAAGCTATAAAATTTAAATTTTACTTTAAAAATTACCTACTTTGGCCTAATTTATAATCAGATACACCCATAAAAGCTAATAAAGGTGAAAATTATTTCATTTAACTCGATGTTATATAATGATTTCTTGATTTTTCCTAAATAGAATATAAAATTTCCGCTCGAAACGGAGGCTTTGGATCTATCAAGCTAATAACGATGTAATTGACAAGGCCGGTATAAAAAATAATAATATTATGAACATACGGGATTTATTTTATAAATTTAGGGATTTATCCGTTACAAAGAAATGTTCTTTGAGTGAATATTAATTAAAATCCCAACTGTGCTTAAATAATAAATACATAATACATAAACTCTCACCGCATGTTACCCGGAGGGTTAAGCAGAGACTCCGACTTTCGTTTGGCAAAATTCTAATCCTGACATATCTCTGTCGCTTCTTTCACATGCATGTATCCACACATACACCCCTTAATTTGACCCAACTTCAATATATCGCCAATTTGGTCGATCGATAAACTTGAGTCTAGGGCAAACTCAGCCTTAATTTTACTTTCATGTTTTTTCTGCAACATTCAACTTTCACTATCATTCAATAAGGTAAGAACTAACACAGCATTGTGTATTGCCATACGTGCCTTTTTTTAGACATTCTGACTTCCTACAATAGATTGAAGAGCCTCAATCACTCTATTTCCTGGATTCTTTCTTCGTTCTAAATTCTCGTCATACGTACCATCCCTGCTTAAAGCACGTCCTAATTACATAAACTCATCCACTTAATCAACTCCCCTTCTATTCTTCTTTCATATATCGTAGTACACGAGTAACCTCTTTATTAAAATATTCTATGCCTTTTTCTTTATGTTATATTTAATAACTCGATTTAATGAATTAATATTGGTTTCAAGAATTAATAACAAAACAAAGCCAATCATCACCGTATGAAAAAGCATTAAATTTACTAAATAACTAATGTGAAAACTAGGACAATAGAGTTTGCCAAAACGGTTAACGACCAAACCACAGTTAAAATATTATTGATGCGTATTTGCAGTTGCTTTTTTTTAAAAAGAAAACATATAAAAGAGAATGGAATGTTAGTTTTTTAGCATATTACACTAATGTTTGGTCGTTGATTCTAAACAAGTTACATATATAATTTAAAAATATAATTTATTTACATATTTTAATATAAGAAACGTAAGTTTACGCACTTTTTATGTACGTTTTGTTTGATAGTTATTATTGATATTATTAAGGTCCGCAAAATTACAAATAATATACTTTTTAAGAGCTATAATAATGTAAAAGGGTTTGTTTAATATTTTTCATATCTTACCGATATTGAACATAAAATAAGTTATAACATATTGTTTTGAGGCACGGTAATTTTTTGAGTGCAGCTAAACATATTTTCAATTTGATACAACGAGAAAAAGTAAATCATAAATTTGAATTAATACAAAAGAATTATTTGAAGTATTTTTTTTCTTGCTTCTTTAATGGAATCTGTTATTGGATATCTAGTTATATGGATTTGAAGGTATTTAATGAATATCTCTACTTAAATTTGCCTATTACTTATAATATATAATTATAATGTTATGTAAATTTCCTACAAATTTCTGTGTTACAACGATTTTTTTGTATTTAATTTTGATAGACTAACATCGAACAAAAGTACAACTTATGAAAAGGGAAGTCTATTCAGTAAATATATAGTAAAATGTTAAAGCTTGAGATACACTTGTATAGTCGAAGTATAATTATGATTGCTCCGACTATAGTTCTTTTATAAAAAGGTTTATATTTTATAAATCTTGACTGGAGCAGTTGTGTGCGTCATAAGTGCGAGGTGAGACATCCTCGAAGGGCGCAACGTGCTCAGAGGCGAATTCACGAGCTACGCGTTCCGCAGCGCCAAGCACTCTCAGTAAATTTAGTCCAGCTAGTTTCCGCAACTCTTCTATACTCCAGCCATCCTCCATTAACTCCGCGAATAGTAAAGGATATGAAGAGACATCTTCAAGACCTTCTGGTGTACTGTATTCAGGATAAAACAATTTTATTAAATTTTATTTAATCAAATAAATAACACTCATTTCTTTTTGAATTATAAAATAGGTCAGTCAAGTTTTCGTTTGATAAGTCATTTGTTAATTAAAATAACTGTATAAAATTCTATTGGAAATAATAGTAAGCCTTTTATAAATAACACACGTGTTATCTATTGCTCCTTTGTTTTTAACTGTTGAGTTGAAATGAAAACCATACTCACTAGTTAATTCCATCGTAGCCTGCCCCCAAACCGACACTGTCTACGCCGGCTACATTGCGTATATGATTTATATGAGCTATAACAAAAATGTTTACATGAAATATTGATTTATAACGAATAAACAAGATTATAAATGTTCAATATCTTACCAATGGCATCCTGAACGGTAGCCGTCTCACTGCACGTGAGAAACGAAGTGTAGAAATTGACCATGATTAGGCCCTTATTGATGGCTAAGAGCCGTAGAACGCTGTCTGGTACATTGCGGGTGACATTGCAGAGTGCACGTGCCGATGAGTGAGAGAAGAGCACAGGGGCCCGGGAGACGGTCAAAGCGTCGCGCATTGTGCGCTCCGACACGTGTGACAGGTCCACTAACATGCCTAACCGGTTCATCTCCTTCACAATCACCTGTGTGACAGATTGTGTTTGTCAGCCTTTTTTACTTAACTGTTACCTAATCTATACAAATAAATAGAAAATGTTTGTTTGTAATGTCGAAATAACAGCTTTTTACTATATGCATATGAATGTATATACGATACATATAACAATAACACGATTTTTAAAATTTTTTGTCTGTCTGTCTTTCTGTCTGTCTGTCTGTCTGTCTGTTTGTTCCGGATAATCTCCGAAACGGCTGGACCGATTTTGACCGGACTTTCACTGGCAGATAGCTGATGTTATAAGAAGTAACTTAGGTTACTTTTATTTTAGAAAAAGAATTAGAGATCCGCGCAAAAAATTAAAACCCATGATATCCAATCGTAATAAATTACGCGCGGGCGAAGTCGCGGGGAACAGTTATTTCTTTAATAAAATATCACCTGATGATTAGAAGTAATTTAGTCATAGATGGTAAATCACACTAAGTGCAACAAAAGTATTTTTTAACACAAAAGCGACGGATGAAATAGGGTGTTACAGCTTGTTATATACATAAATACTAGGCTTTTGCCCTCGGTGTTATCCGCGTCCATGTTATAGTGTCCAGACAGTTGTGACCTATACTTATTATGAGATCGCATAGTACGGAGAGCTATCTCATGGAAACTTTCTCATATTTGAAAATGATAATGATCGCTGATTTGAAGTTAGACTAAGGCTTTTTGAATAATGAAAATCACTCTAACAATCTGCCTCTTTGTACATTCATCCTTCTTTTTCAAATAACTATTTTCTATATTCTATTACATACACACAAGCTGTACAGCTCGTGGAAGGAAGGAGCCTTATACATATTCGCCTGCTCAATCTGATTTTCCTTCAAAAATTTACTCAAAGCTTAATACTTGGAATTTTTATAATTCCCATCATACGAGTACTTCGTGTCATCATTTGTGTTTTTATTATTATTACTTTATTTCTTAACTTGGTTGTATAATTTATGTACACCTCCGTCCTAGCGATTGGCTGTGAACAATTCCTTACGTAATAAGGTTGTCTGGAATATCGCTTCCAGAGGTATAAGAACGCCTATTGTACCTTTTTTTTATTTATTTAAAGTTTTTGTTTCACTGTGTATTGGTGTACAATAGAGAACATATTAATAAATTGAAAATCGCATTAAAATAGTTTACAATTTTATAATAGCATTCATTCCCTTCACTTAACGGTACATCCGTTAGTGGTGGAGCATCCAAAAATTCTTAAATAAGTTTCACTATGTTTCTAATCGAAACCTTATAATAGTGTATCAAATAAACCAAGATAACTTTAGACTAATAAATGATAAAATATTTCAAATAATTCTACTTTAATAACAGCGAGTTAGTTGCAGTATTACCTGTTGTATAAAACAGTTTCTTTACAGACAATACTTTTTTTAACTAGAAACTATAAAATATATATTATTTATTCCATAAAGGGAAATAATAATTATTATAAAAACATACACGAAATAATGTATTATATTATTGTGTGTATTTTATACGTGGTGGAGCTATGCTGCAGCTATTCGTAATTATGGGTGTAGCAGGAATGGGTCGGGTTGACCGGAAGAACCACTCTCTAACAGAATACCAGTGTAAAATAGCAGCTCAATACTACTGTTTTTCCTATGGTGAGTGTAGACAACCGGAGACCCTTTTTACTGGAAACGAGGCATTCCATCTTAGTCCTCAAGGGTGACAACGCATCTGGTTTTCTATTTTTAGTCGATGATAAATGTTGATGTCTATGGGCCACAGCATCCCTTTTTCTATAAAAAAATTGTTAGTTAAAATTATTTGTTCAGTATTTCTTTTTGTAAAATTACAAAAGTCATACAACATTTTTCATGAGATATTTTATCAATTTGATTATTTGTAAAAAGTACATGCATTTATTCGGAGATGAATTGGTATAGGAATATCTGTTCCAATGTAATGATTTACGACTTGTTTTATATTTCTTGCTTTAAAATACTTGAAAGTTCAATTTATAAAGGTATAAACTTTTTCAGAATTCATTTAAAATTAATGAGTCGCAAACGAGTAAGGACATTAATGCAAAGTTTTGAAAAGAATGGAATAACAAGGGAACTATTTTCCTTTTATAATAGATATCGAAGTTTTATAATGAAGTCAAGATATATTTCTTTTTACTCGTATTAGACTACAAAAGGGAAAATATTGACATAATAGTGTAAAATTAGAACAAATTTTGTCGAGCAAAAATTAGCCTTCCACTAAATGCCATACAAAGTTTCGTAAACAATTCTTTCAATAGGTAATAAGTTTTTCAACCGACTTCAAAAAAAGGTTCTCACTCTATTTTTTATGTGTGTTACCTCAGAACGTTTTTTCTGGTTGAACCGATTTTGATGATTCTTTTTTTATTTGAAAGCCAGTGTCTCTCATGTGATCCCTTATTTAATTTTAATCAGGATCGGACCAGTAGTTTTTGAGTTATCCTTAACAATGGGTATTTAATTGACTTCGACTACATCGACGATGTTCTCATTTTATTTATATTGAAGTCGGTCGTACAAAGTTTCTAATTGTTCACTTGTTTTGTTGAACTAGTGATAAACAAACTTACAGCTCGCCTGATGTTTAATGGCTACCGCAGTCCATGGACACCTGCAACTCCAAATAAAGAAGGTTAGAGATGGTAATCACCTCTGAGGATTAAGATGGAATGTCGTACAGCCTGTAGGTACCTAATTATATTTGCATTTTATACTATGTTCTTAGGAACACACCGCTGAATTTGCTGTAATTACTACTTTTGTCATTCGGATTGACAATTGCAGCAATGGACCACGTCAGCACTTAATTTTTTCGATATTTTAAAAATGAATATTTTAAATAATACCGAGGATATATAAATAGAGCCGTCGTACCTCAGGCGCTAAGCGCTCGCTGTAAATTTCACAGTAAGCCAGCAACGCGAGTTCGATCCTCGCCGGCATCAATGAAATTGTTTATTGCAATTTTAAGTGCTGATTTACCACGTGTTCAGCGGTGAAGGAAAACATCGTGAGGAAACTTGCATTTCTGAGAAATAATAAAAAATATTTCGAAGACGTATATAGGCTGTAACTTTAACTTACTTATCTTATCTTCACGCACAATCCCTGATGGGGTAGCCAGAGAGAACAGATCGCCAAGTGTCACGATCCTTACATATCTCTTTCGCTTCTTTCAGATTCATTATCTTCTTCATACATGCACGTCTAGGTATCCGAGTACTCTTGACCCTACTTCGAGTAATTTGCTCACATGGTCTTCGAAAGTTAGTCTCGGTCTACCTCGACACCTTTTAATATTAACTTTCGCGCTATATATTTTCTTCACCATTCGGTCTTCACTCATTCGCTCAACGTGCCCAAACCACCGAAGCACGCCCTTATCAATTTTTGTGATAAGGTCATCTTTCAAACCTGCCATATTGCGAATCTCTTCGTTTCGCTTTCGGTCGGCCATAGTAACGCCGCACATTTTACGAAGAGATCGCATCTCCACTGCATTCAACTTACTTTTATGCTTCTTCTGGCATACCCAGGTTTCGCTGCCATATAACAAAGTCGGTACCAACACTGCGTTATGTATTGCAAGGCGTGCACTATTCGCTACGCCTTGCCTTTTGACTAACGCAGTCAGGGCACCATTGACTATGTTCCCGGCAGCGACACGCCTGTCCACATCTAAATCACATCTTCCATCCCGGCTAAAAGCACTCCCCAAGTATACAATTTCATTTACCTGTTCTAGACATTCCTGATTTACCCATATTTCACACTTCGTTCTCTCTTCGTCCCTTTCAAATACCAGAACCTTAGTTTTATTAGCATTCAAACGGAGACCTTTAATTTCACATTCCTCTTTCATACACGTAACTAATGCCTGCAGTTCTGCCTCTGATGGTGCAATAAGCACTGCATCATCAGCATACAGCAGACAATTTACTTTTATGTCACCCAATTTCACACCCAAACAGCTATCTTTCAGCTTTTGTAAACAGCTGTCGAGATACAGTATGAACAGCCAGGAAGACATGACACAACCCTGTTTTACGCCCGTTTGGACGCTAAACAGGGGTGACAGGTCATGCCCTACCCGCACACAGGCTTTACAGTCACAGTAAAGAGACTGCACAGCCCTTAGAAATCGGCCATCCACACCATACCCCGGCAACAGTTCCTTTAACTTTAACTTTATATTTTAAATTCTTCCGCCATTAATTTGTACGGCGTATTGTTTTTAGGACCTTATTGCTCTCGATATCTAAGCGCCGCCTAAACCCGTCCAACAACAGGCCTATCACCATCACCCACAATTTCTTCAATAATAAAAAAATTGTAGAACCGACTTCAATATATATTACTAAGGATAACTCCAAAACTATTAGTCAAACCTTGATAAAATTTATATGGGACCACATGAGAAGTACCAGCTTTTAAATACAAAAAGAATTATCGAAATCGGTTCACGTAGAACAAAGTTATGAGGTAACACACATAAAAAAACATATAGTCGAATTGAGTACGTTCTCCTTTTTGAAGTCGGTAGAAAAATGAGTCCATTATTAAGTGCCACTTAAGAACTGGTGATCTTCTTTTTTACCCGATTCACGGACAGGCGGAGGCAGTTGAGACCAAAAGAAAATACCCTGGCAGATAGTTCGGAGCTTCGTTCAGGCTCGCAGTTCATTTGTGTACGAAAGTGTACGAAATTTGTGTACAACACAGTGTACGAAAACAAATGAAAACTTAAGTTTGCACATATTTTGACTTTAATTTACAGGAGGGTACCAGCACCCCTGGAGAATCCCTCGCTGAGCATTCACTCACTTCATTCACTCTTGAGCGTGGGTGCTCAGGGTGCTCCGCGTATTCGGGGGGAAGAGGGGGGGGGGGGGGCAAAATTCTGCTCAAAACAATAACGGGAAACCGGCCTTGCTCTTTCTGATCGAGACGCAGGTGTCCT